CAATCAATAAGCAAACAAACAAGCAAATCATTTTATTAATATATATTCTTATGATCTTCAGTCTTTTTCTATTAATTTTTAGTAATTTTCTTTTAAAATATTTTATTATTCTTTTAATTTTTAATTTCTCTTTTCATTTTTTATACCAAAACTCCCTTAGTCCATGGTATAAAAGTCTCTATACATTTATTTTTCTTCATTCTTTTCTTAATATGTGCAACTTTATTTATAAGGTAAGACATACATAATATATATAAGGAAATGACAGTTAATTGAAAATACCATATTAATGAGAATATAATCAATATTAAATCCTTGAAATCAATAAATTAGTAAATTGATTTTTCATTGATTGATAAATTTTCATAATAGCATGATATTCCTTTCTTTTAAAATCAGATAAATCATTTCTTGATTTTCTCTTTACTAGTCTCTTCCCTCAAGTTGGAGCACGAAAATTAAGTGTCCAATTGGCTTGTAATGATCTCCAAGGTTGGTGTTACCTATTCTCCAATATCTGCAATAGGCTTTTAGCTTGTAGGAAAAATTCTAAAAAATGATCACTTCGTCTCCTCTGGTCTCTTTCGTTCCTGTAAGAAAATGTAGTTTTTTTTTTTTAAAAAAAGATGGCCAAATGGTTTCTTCAAAGCTTTTTTTTATTTGGTTTTTTTGTTATTCCTCTCTCTCTCTCCCTTTTTTTTTTTTTTAAAAAAAAAGATTGGAAGATAAAAGGGTGCAAAAAAAGATGAAAAAAAAAAAAAACAAAAGTAATCCAAAACTAAAGTTTCAACTATTTAAGCAGTTTAGTCTATGTTACTAGGGTTTTGTCCATATTTGAATGTTTTTCCGATGCAGGAAACACTTCTCAACCTGCTGCTTCGCAATTAGCTCCATTACAATTTGTATGATCAAGCAGAGAAACTGAGGTCAAAGGCACAAAGATTCGAAGCACACTCAAACCAGCAGGCAACTCTCTGTTTTCCATATGTTTTTATTTTTAGTATTATATCTCATATGAAATTATTTCTCACATTGTTTGAATTAGACTTGTGGAATTTTCCACTGTCCATAAATTGAAGCTAGGGAATGGGTGTTGGTTTCTCTGTTTTTGTGTAATCAATTCACGTTACCAATTTATGACTGTTTGCATTATAAAGGCACCCTTCTCTTCTGTCCTCTTTTCTTTCTCAATTACAGAAAGAGTGTTGTTTCTTTTTGCATTTAAAAATAGTACAATTTTGTTGGCCTTAGGATTCACCAGACCTTTTACGTGTGATACTTAATTACGATAATATTGTAAAACAATTCTTCATCATGCAGTTTTGCCGCTACCTCTTTTACGTGGGTAAGATTAGGAGTCCTAATTTAGGACCATTCAGTTGGAGTACACAGGTGTAAAAGAGGCCCTTCTTCGAGCTGCTATAAAAGCCACTGTTGCAGCCCTGGCTTTCCGAGTTCAATGCAACAAGTAGGCTATCATTGTTCGATTATTGCTAGGTGAAATCCCAGAGAGGACCATTTTTATGCAGAAAGGCATGGAAAAGGCTTTGAGGCCATACTTTGAGCTTACAAATGTAAGTTTATGAAGCTTCAGTTCTGCGTGTTATTTCATGCCTTGGGAACCTAGGTCTTAACTTTCCTAATTATGGAAATAAATGGACAGCAAAACATATATGCAGCTCAAACATTTCTTTACTACTTTTATGAGGACACACCCTTCTTTCTTATCTCATATATAATGTAGAAAATTATTCTTAAGTTGGTTATCTTAAGAAGTGGTGAACTTGGTTAAGTGCAATAGATGCTTTGTTTATATGTTTAATATGTCTGATATTTTTACATTTTACTGGTCAACCCAAGTGTTGATGATGGTTTTTGAGAAAATGGAAATTTTTGTGCATGTTACAGGCTGTTTGCATTGGAGAATTGGAGCTTTTTAGATCTGTTGCTGAGAAATTCTCGAGCACATTCAGTTCAGATCAGACTCATTAATTGATCGTTAGGCTGCGGCATAACGTCATAAGTGCTGGGCTGCGAAACATAAGTATCTCGTATCTCCCTTGCTGATGTTGCCAAGAAGCTAAGGTTGGACTCTGCTAATCCTGTTGCTGATGAGGAGAGTATAGCAGCCAAGGCAATCAGAGGTGGAGCAATTGATGCTATATTGGATCATGCAAATTGATGGATGCTGTCAAAGGAGACGGGTGACATCTACTCTACAAATGAGCCTCAAATTGCATTCAACTCTAGGATTGCTTTCTGTCTGAATATGCATAATGAGGCAGTAGGCGCACTTCGATTTCCTCCAAACTCTCACAAGGAGAAAGAAAGTACTGAGAAAAGGAGGAAGAGACAACAACAAGAACAAGAACTAGCGAAGCACATCGCAGAGGAGGATGACGATGAGTTCTGATTTAATCACTTTCAAAAGGCATCGCTTAGGCCTGCATAATGCCTTCATTAAGATGTGCATTTCTCTTTCCTTGAAATTCTGGGCAAAAATGTTATAATTTTGAACTTGGCTTGTCATAGATATTTATGTTGTTTTAATTCAACTGGGTAGTACCTTATTGGTTCCAAAATTTTATTTGTATTGTTCATTTCTTCACCCATTGAACAGTCGTTTGAGTGCTATCTCATCCTGGTGAGAAACTCATTTTTAGCCTTTTTTGACCAAAGTTTTTCCTTTGCTAATTTTTATTTTATTAGTATTGAATAATGAATATATACCTTAATTAAAATCATGACTAGCTTTTACCCTTTTATTTTTATCCGAAATAAATTTAAGAGATTTTTATTTTTTTTTTGGTCAGTTTTTAAATCCTTTTTATTTAGGTGATTAATTGTGAGAGAGAGATTTATTTATCTGAAAATAAAAATTCGTAACTTTAAGGATTCAATCATGGTGTCGAATCTTATTGAGAAACGCAGATTTTACAATAATAAACTGAGAAAGCAACCCAAAATCTACAGTCTAACCAAAAAGACCAGCAAAACGGAAAAAACATAACTCTCCTAGACAGGGGCAGACGGGGGTAGACAGGGGGCCCCAGTCTCATCTCCAGTCTAGTAAGAAGCTGAAGTACAACAACACCTAAAACCAAACATAAGTGCATAAGTAAAGGGACACAACCCAGTTGTTTATTAATAAAATCACACTAAACCTAGGATTTAATCACGGAGGATTAGATCCCTGACACAACAGAGCATCAAAGCAAAATAGCTGGTCTTTTTGTATCCTTAGCTAATTAAAGCTGAAGGATAATCTGGGCAACACTGTCTACTGCTTCTGAGGTAAGAAGGGTGTCTTCAGAATGCTGGTGGAGCGCTGCCTTTAACAGGTCGATCTCGAGTTTGAGGTCCTCCATTGCAGCAACCATTCCCGCCGCTTCCTCTCTCACACGGGTTATCTCCGCCTTGGCAGCAGCAGCTTTGGCTTTCATCCTCCTCAGAGTCCTCTTTTTAACAAAATTGATGAAAAAGATCAATATATAAGTAAATTAACGGAGACGTGTGTTAAAGAATGAAATAGGTAGGATTTGTTGAGAAAACAGAGGCAGTTACCTTAAGCTTGCGGCTGCGCCTTAATCTTCCACTACGGGTCTCCCTTGTTCCGTCCATTACAACTTCTCCTTTTGTCTCTGTGATATCTCATTTAGGTGGTATATATATATATATAGAGACGAGGCGGTCCCCACATATTAATTGTTATTCTTTTGATATTCAGTAATTGTTTGTTTGGCGAGCTTTCTGAGTGTCACAAAACAACAAAACAACTTTGTTTGGTGAGCTTTCTGAATGTCACAAAACAACAAAACAACTTTCTGAGTGTCACAAAACA